TCGCGCGCGACGCCCCTCTCACCGCGACGCGACCATTTCGTTCCTAATGCACCACACCCAGTGGGTTCACTTTTGTTGGCGAAGAGAAACTGATCATACGTCCACTAGAGAACATCGAAGTGGCCCAATTCTATGCATGTCTCCTTCAAACCCCATCGACAGATAATTTCGTCAAAGAAATATCTATCCCCTTCTTATTTCTTCCCTCTTTCTTCCAGTGCTCTATTTTCAAGCATGAGTGAAGAGAAATCGAAGATAATCCCGAAAGCTTGCTCGAAACGCGGTTGAAATGAGGATTCGAGAAGTCAAAAGCGTCAAGAATGTGTCAGATGATTTTGATATCCCCCGGTTCTCATTGATCTGGACCATAAGGATCAGCAGCTTCCAGATGTCTTCTCTTTCGTCGAGCGAACAAACATCAAGGAACGCGTTTGGCCAACACCACCTGGGCGTGTTATGAGCGTAGTTGCTTCGTTTCAAATCTTTAATGCTGGAAAATTCTGGGAGGGACCAGAATTTATTTCTAGTAACCGTGCAGCCACACGACAATTGTTAAAAGCTGACTTTGGTTAAGCTTTAAGGTAGTTAGCAAATGTGCCTTCTACATATCCACTGAACAAAATCGGAGGCTGTCGATTAAGTGAAAAAGGAAAATCTGTTTGTTTGAGTATTTTGCAAGACTGTATTCTGAATTAAGACATATTGGCTGAACTTTTTTTTCGGTGATTTTCTTCTTCCTGTCGCTCATCTCTGCTGTGCCCCGGAACTTTCATCCTCGGATTCTAATCTATTTATTCATGGCTACCGCTTTAGTGCACACAAAATTGAACATCTGTCGCGGAGTCCGACAGGAAACTGGTGGTATTTGGTCTCTGGAGGATAAAGAATCATAATTAGGAATTGACGACGGCACTAGGCAATTATGTACGTGGTGAATGATTGTCATCGATGGAGAATATTTGCATCTGAGCGTTGTGCATCATCAGGGGCGAGGTGGTGGTGTGGTAGTGTAGCGGCTGGCAAGTGGTGCACTATCACACATATATGACCCGGGATCGACTCTCAAGTCCATGCTGCCCTGAACGAACCAAGCCTTCCCTCCACCGCAAGTCATTGTATAGGCCACATATGTCTCCAACTCTCCACTACGATTTTGATTGGAGGTCGAATGCGAGGCTCATCCCGAAAACGGGAACGGTTGATGCCATCGACTGCAAACCTTCACATGTACATCGCACTCCACTCCTCCTTGGGTATGGGAAGAAGGACATAATTTGAGAGCAGAATACAGAGGATGGGGTAGTTATAAGTTATAATCACCCTCCAAGTCATCATGACATTTCCTTCATAAATGACGGAACTCTTTCTTGGGAGCTTTCTCCTTCGGATGCGCTGCCCAGTGCAAATCAGGTTTCAAAGGCACAATTCATGATAATTCTGTGTACCCCTTTTTAATTCAAAAAGCGGAGGTACAGGTTGGGAATAGTTCATCGTTAGTGAAGGAGGCGAGAAAATTCGCCAGTTTTAAGAAAACAAGGCTCCTTAAAATTAGGGAAATAGAGTTTGGACGAGACTACCATGACGGAAATAACACGGAAGGGGTATTCGGACGAGATTTCATTTATTGCAATTGCACAAAGAGCTGACTACATCAAGTCATAACTGCGTAGAACTGCCTTTCACTGACGCTGTGGGTCATGGCAAGTTGCTTGAGCCTCCTATATGGGTTCCCATGTGAATGGTGCAGCCTCTGCAGTGCCGATAAAACTCGTCCGAGGATACACAGGATTCAATCTTTGAGCCTTTATAATGCGCTAACTAAGCCGTTTCCGACCTGATAGGGCCAGATATGGTCAGATATAGTATACAAGGGGCCTTGACTTCATCCCATGTGAAATTTTAGGGACCATAATTACCCGAACTTTTTGAACTAAGCTTTTCAACATTTTCCTTTTTGTTCCTCTTCTGGTTTCCTTCCATTTTTCACACCCAAGCTTTCTGGAGTCTAGCTAATGTTTGAATATTCTACCGTTAATTGAAAAAAGGTGCGAGATGATCACTTTCCAAAGATTTTTTGCAAAATTTGGAAGTGTTCATTGGTCTTTTCAATTAGACCCTACTGATTTTTTTGCATGGCACGTTCGTGTGTACTTTGACGAATGACGGCCATTCAAACAATTTCTAAACGACCCCCGAACAGTGCAGCTGTTTGTAGTGTTCCCCGAACGACTGCCCCACGCTATATAATGATAGGGGAGAGGACAGCGTAATAGGGCACCGTGAAGGCTCTCAAACTATCGAAAAAACTGGATTTCTTTCTGAATTTATCATAGAGGATCATAACAGAGCTTGGGAGCATTTGTTACCTAGAATGGTCCACTGCCTAGGTGTTCTCGATCGAGGGTATGGCCATTTTCCTATTGTTTAAAGGGTCCATTACGTGTGGCTGTGGTGCTTGTTGTGTGGGAAAGAGAGCGACACATTGAGTATCATGTAACTATTAATGGGATTAAACTACAAGGATGCGCCACGCATTCCACATCTGCACATCTAAAGCTTTTTGAACTTGAACGGTAGCTAGCAGCATGAGTAAACAATGACCAACAAACATGCTGCAACTTAATTTTTGTGGTTTTTGTCAACGATCGAGGTCGCGAAAGAAGGAAGTGATCACTTATAGTAAATAATTGACTAGCTCTCTGACATCCAGATTGCGCGCTTCAATCACCCATCGCATTTCTGCGATACGCAGCGGCTGCGGCGACTGCGACGTGGTTTTCGGGGATAAGATACCACACCCTTGAGTGAGCGACATACCCTCTTGACTTGAGGATCGAGCAGTAGGATCGGTTTTTTGCTCAGTCGATATGCGATTATAATTTTTGGTTTAATTCTAATGCTAGTTCCTTATTTCCTGTTTCTTATTTGCTGCTGCATTCTGCTACATTCCTTCTCGCGCGGCGTCTCCCTCGCCGCGACGCGACAGTTTCGATCCTACTGCACCACACCTAAGGATAATGGTATTTTCGTTATGAGTGAATTCCAATAGTCATTACATTGCATATTACAGAACTGCAACGTAAACCAAAAGTGGTCACCTATCACTGAATTACGTAATGGACATGTTCGAGTACTGCGAGCTGGCAGTTCACGGAAGTACGAATGTCGTGCGAGGTGGGTGGAAATGAATTTAAGACTAGGTCAGAAAAACTCCAATGTTTTCTCGAATCTACCCGAGAGTTTTGAACCTCGATTGAATCTTTGGAATAAACTTACTTGAAGTGGACTACTACTTGGCTTGCTTAGTATTCAAGAAGCATGTGATCGATACAATGGGGACAGAAATTACTTGCTTCTGTGTTTCTGTCTTCAGAAATTATCATTACGTCATTTGTTTTGAGCAGGAAACGATCCATCGCCGTGTTCGTGACTGAAGCCCCTTTTGCTGCTTAGACTTCATTGCTCACCTTGATTGCAGCTGAATACTCCATAATGAACAAAGCGAACTACTTTACTTAGCCATGGTATATAAAACCCGCTTTTGGAATCCACTTTCTTACGATATGCGCAGATCCGTATCTTTTTTTGGCTCTCAAAACTTGTGTGAATCTTTTTCGTTGTAAGTAGCGTATATACCCATAAGGACACATGGCAAATGTATCGCAGCACGGTGCTGAAGGGTTTATACTCAGCATATGACGCTGAGTAGTTCATGAGACACATGTTTTGATGCTTACACTTCATTGACTTCTATATATCAATAATGATCGAATTGAGTTCTCATAAGGTGCCTCGATTCATGGATATAAGAGCACTTTTCCTTTTAAGGACGCTTGGTACGCGAAAGTTCAAAAACCTTCATAAACGACGGTTTGTTAATGTGGTTAGTTAAGGTGTGTGAATTACTTGGACGAGGAACATGTGGCGTTTGATCCATGGCGAGACATCAACGATCTGCCGCCGTTCCTCTGCGACTTCGTTCATACCGAGTGCACGTCAAGGAAGAGAACCATCTCACATGTACATATGCAGATAGCTGAGCTGAGGTGAGAAAAATCTCCTTTCGTCATTCAATGATGGGCTTCAATTTCGAAAATGCTCAGGTATGTCATGGCGATGTATATTGGCACGCTTGTGCCAGCATGTTATGTAACGTCGTAGAAGAAGAGCAGGAGGTTGAAGTGGATAAGGGCATAGTTTTAAAAGGTCGATAGCGGAAGAAGCTGAGGGTCCGGTGCCGGTGTTGTATTGGATGCAATGCGTCAAGATGGAGCCTCAGCGAGAATGAGTGGGGTAGAAGTTCTTCAGGGCCAATTGGTGATATTCGATGGAGTGCTATTAAAAGTTTCCCTACCAAGGCTCTAGGAAAGAGAATCCCCTTAGTAAGTGGCATGATGCCATGAGACAACAGGCTGCTTATTTTGAAGGAATCTTTGGGATTCAATCGTGGATTGGTTTTACGCCGTGTTTGAAGAAATCCGAACACCGGAATCTTTGGGATTCAATCGTGGATTGGTTTTACGCCGTGTTTGAAGAAATCCGAACACCCGCGAGCTGGTCACGTATAAGAGGGGTTGAAGTGGCTTGGGGAATGATGAGGTATTCGTGACAAATGGTGGGCAAAATACTCAGAGGTGGCCATTACTTCACAGCCTCTTCCTTTTTCCGCTTCACCGCAGAAAGGATGAGCGGTAACCCCTTGGGTAGCTGGTTCGTCTATCCCCTTTTATCTGTTCTCCGTGACGATCGACTATCGTCTGTTCGCCAAAGCAGTCCGTACATCAGAAAAAACGAACAGAAGTCGTCTTCGAAGACGTGAACACCTCCACCCCGTTGAATGCTTCCTACGGCTGGAAGCCCACCAATCATCTTACCTCCAGCTTTCATTTCCTCCCAAAAAATGCTCGCTACTACTGATGTCAGTCATTTCAGTGACTGCGTGCCTGTGTATTATTCGTGGGTCACTTTTAGAACGTACGGAGACGAGTTTTCAGTTGTCCAAAGAAAAGATATGGAACTGTATGATACCGTTTCAGTACGAAATCAGTTCATGCTACCAGACACCCTCATGTGCATATCATTCTGTTGGATTCGGTCGCCTCGTCACAAGCTATCAGGTTTGACCGTCATGTTTGTAACTGTGACAAGTGGAACAAGGTGTTATGTGGGTGTTACTTAGCGTACTACAGTATTGTCTAAGTCATTTAGGGCCCTTCCAAGAACTGTGAACTTTCTGACAAATGCTATGGACGCGGTTCAATTTCGGAAGTTGAATAAAGTTGGCTACAACAGTCGACCGAATGGTTTTGTTATGCTTTTTGGTACGATTTCTTCATGATTATTAGATTATTGGTACAGACGCAGCTTGACGTTAACCCATGTGAATCGCTCCAGTATGCGCCATGCACACGACTTGATTATGAATTTGTGGAAGCCTTGAAAATGGCTTCAGCGTGAGCGGGGCTTGTGAGACTTTCGGATCGCGTACTGCGGTGATATAACAGCAGTTAACAAAACATCAAGTCAAACATGAGTGGGGCTTTATAAGTTTAACTCTCTTTGAAGTTTGAACTTTGGCTCCGAGAAAGTGTATTGAAGGGATAGGAAATGATTCTCATTCAACCTGAGCGGTGTGAGATCCTTAGGGTATGTATTATGGTTCTTCGCGCCACAGTCCAACATCCGACCAAGTTACCCAAATCTTCCCGAAGGTCATTACGAGCTCCATTTCTATTCAAGACCATCGTGTCTTTCGGATCGAAATTAAGCCTACACAGTACCACCAAGCGTAACGTGATGAACGTGATGTTCGGTTCAATACTACCAGTTTCCAAGACGTATTCCTGATCAATGAAAGAGCCTCGGAGGCTCGAAGGTAGGGTTAATTGATCTGAGGAGTCTGAAACCAGGGTTGGCTTCTGAAGAGTGTAGCAGCGCCCTTTTCTACTGTCGCTCTTTGACTATTCTCAAACAGAAAAAAATAACTGGATGACGTTGAAGGATCCCTGACTCCTGATATGAAGCCTTGCAGGAAAAACAACTGAGGCAGTGACGCGTGAACTGGTCGACGGCGACCTGATACCGGCAGACTGGACATACTCAACGTACTGTCGCAAGTACCTCAACGAATCGATCTACATCCCAATTCAGTATAGAAACGCTGGCTACAAGGTAATTACTATTTTCTCCTTGGCTTCCATTAATTTTAACATTTTTATATTTCACAGTTTCGTCATTAATTGTCATTTTCTGAATCAATATATCCAATTAGCCTTTTCTATCATTTCATTCATATAAGGAGACCGACGTAGCCATCGGTGCGCCCTAAATTGCGGTTTGAAAAAACATTTATATGCCTCAATCCATCACCTGCACCATAAATGTCGGGATTGGAGCTAATGTCTGCTAGATGGTGAATGGGTCGACGTTTTTATTTTTTCGGAATGACCTTGAATCTCCTCTTTTATGGCCTCTACAAATTATTCGCATGCGTTTTTTTCTGAACCGTGGAACA